AGAAGAAAGCGTGACAAAGGACAAACTATCAAATGTTAGAGGGCAGAATAATGTTGTTGCCAGCAAGTGTAAATGCTTGGGAAGTGCTTCAACGGAGGATGGAAAATGCGACACTACTAACATACGAATACGCACTGTAGTAGCGAAAGATGCCTTCCAAAAGCTAAACAAAGTATGAAGAAACAGGAAAATGTCGTTAGAAAAGGGTACTAAACTGTTATATAATACCGGTATTACAGTGAAAGCTTGACAATTTTCTTACAGACGAAGAGAAAACTTAAGATGTGGTTCTACAGAAGGATGCTGAGGATACGATGGATAGCGGCTCCCCACTGTACAACATACCAATTTTCATAATGTAGCATTCAAATAAAATACACATTTCCTTGTGACCTAATTATCTAATAATGGAGCATATGCTAAATTAATTTTAAAAAAAATTAGAAAAAATGAAAATAAATTCAGTGTATCTAAATACAAACTAGAGACATGTTTTAAATAAATCAATCCATCCTCTAACACCTGGATATGTCAATAAACTCCATCCGCATCCTAGGTAAGACGATAAACTACATCCGCGTCCTGGGTAAGACGATAAACTACATCCGCGTCCTGGGTATGACAATAAACTACATCCGCGTCCTGGGTATGACACTAAACTACATCCGCGTCCTGGGTATAACGATAAACTACATCCGCGTCCTGGGTATGACAATAAACTACATCCACATCCTGGGTATGACGATAAACTACATCCGCGTCCTGGGTACGACGATAAACTACATCCGCGTCCTGGGTATGACAATGAACTACATCCCCGTCCTGGGTAAGACGGTAAACTACATCCGCGTCCTGGGTATGACAATAAACTACATCCGCGTTCAGGGTAAGACGATAAACCACATCTGCGTCCTGGGTATGACAATAAACTACATCCGCGTCCTGGGTAAGACGATAAACTACATCCGCGTCCTGCGTATGACAATAAACTACATCCGCGTCCTGGATAAGACGATAAACTACATCCGACAGCAAGGCCTCTGATCAGGAGGTTTTGAGGAGCGTGGAACCACCTCTTAATTACTGGTGTTCCCAGGTCCACCATGATCTGGGGTGGTAGCACCTGTTAAGGTTTCAACTATGGGTAAATAGCCCCAAACTGGAGTCAAAACACTATGAAAGTGTAAAAATTGGTTTTAATAAAAGCAATACATTTTTGTAAAAAATATTACCAGCAATACATTTTTGAAAAAAACATATTACCAGCAATAGATTTTTTGGAAAAAAATATTACCAGTAATAAAAATCTTGTCGGTATTAAATAACCCACTGAGGTTGGTATACCGCATTAATTAAAAAAAAATTAGAAAAAATGAAAATAAATTCAGTGTATCTAAATACAAACTAGAGACATGTTTTAAATAAATCAATCCATCCTCTAACACCTGGATATGTCAATAAAGTCCATCCGCATCCTAGGTAAGACGATAAACTACATCCGCGTCCTGGGTACGACGATAAACTACATCCGCGTCCTGGGTACGGCGATAAACTACATCCACGTCCTGGGTACGGCGATAAACTACATCCGCGTCCTGGGTACGGCGATAAACTACATCCGCGTCCTGGGTACGACGATAAACTACATAAACCAAAACCAAACCATTCTTCAGAAACGTTTTTGAAATTTTTCGTGTTAAAAGTTGAAGAATTGTAATACATTCAAAATTATGGATAAAAATAGTGAATCTTTTATTGTGGTTTTTCGAGACTTAGCATGAGCAAAAGAAATTTATGGATTTAGGCGAAGACCCCAGAATAACTTCAAAATCTGCGAAAATTTATCATCCTTTCACATGTACTTAGTTTAATTTGTAAGGTATATAAATGTAGGTAAAAAAAACAAAGCAAATATTGATAAGATAAAGAGGATCAGAAATTACGGCCCGGAGCCCCCAATCAAGCTTCCTTTCACCCCCTCCGGCTAGGGAGCATCGTGGTTGTACGCACCGGCCCTGGGTAAGAGTGAATAAGTAACAAAGATGGACACTTATAATTAGAATCAGAAAAATAGCTAATTTCTTGGACATATAATGAGGAAGAAAGGCTTAGAGAATTTGACACATGGAGGAGGAAACAGGGAGTGGGGAAGAAACAGATTCATTATCTTTCATGAAGGTATTTTGTAAAAGTGAAAGTGAAAATTAAAACGACGAGCGAGGCGAGAATTTGGACTCCGTTCGTCGATTTCACTCACTGGTTTGATACGGATCTCCAGAGAAATATTTCGGTGTAAGTTCCGGTAAGAGAGCCGAATATTTGGCTAGGCTTCATAGCAAAGTAAACCCGAACGTGTTTTTAAACCAGAAAAGGAAGGAAGTATATATATATATATATATATATATATATATATATATATATATATATATATATATATGAAAATTCTCCGATTTAACCAGTAGAAAAACAGTATTTATGAATAAAAATTACCAAACGAACATTTCGTATTTTGTTTTGATAAAGTCCACATTAGACGAAACGCGTCAGCAATTACTAGTTTTCCTATTGTCATTTTTATTCATATATATATATATATATATGTGTGTGTGTGTGTGTGTGTGTGTGTGTTTTAAACCATGAAAAATATTTTTAAAAAAATAAAATTTTCAGACATACTCGGTTGTATATCAATATTTTGGGGTTTTCTTACGTTCCTCGACTAGTTTCGGGCCAATATATATATATACACACAACCGAATGGGTAAATATACGGTGTTATTCGAACGAGCGATTGTATACAAAAACATATGAATACTCTATAGTATAAGAAAAACGCTGCTCAATGTAAAAGTAACAGAGCTGAATATATATATATATATATATATATATATATATATATATATATATATATATATATAAAATCTGATATTAATTGCACAACTCGGAGTTTCATGCCGAAGCAATTTTCAAGTGATATATATATATATATATATATATATATATATATATATATATATATATATATATATATATATATATATATATATATATATATATATATATATATATATATATATATATATATTTCAATTAAAGGTGCAAATTATAATTTATAAATATTTGTCAAAAGAGAATTCTTTTTACTGGTACAAAACGCACAACCTTAACCTTTTAAATTCAAACTCAGCTGAGGATGCCTGTAGGAATAGACGAAAGCTTGTAGAAATTAAATGACCTTATGCAACTGGAATTTATGAACATATCATTCATATACAGGTTCGGGGTTGATGTATCTTATTTATATTGTTTGCGAAGCTGTATTCTTGCCATATAAATCATTAACCTCTATATTTGTTTTTTCTATGAATGATTCATGAATTTATAAAATATATATGTGTGTGTGTGTGTGCGTGTGCGTGCGTGTGTGTGTGTGTAAAAAAACGAAAAGAATATAAATTCAAGCATTCATTACATTAATTAAAAAGTGCTCAATACAAGAGTAGAGCAATAGTTATTTATTATAAACTGTTACATTGGAACATGCAAATTACCACAACAAAAATGCATATTTGTTTTGTTGTATAGTTTAGAGATCTCATCAGGTGGTTAACATTGTTCGTAATCTCACCAATGCTAAACACCTGATTAGATCTCTAAATTAGACATCGAAACAAACATACATTTTTGTTGTGGTAATCTGTATGTTCCAATGTCACAGTTTATAATATATATATATATATATATATATATATATATATATATATAAGTTATGAAGAACTTGGTAATCCGTATGGGTAATCCCAAGGAGGATGAAATCCTGAGAGCCCAATGTATAACCAGAGCTAATATTTAAAAGAATTCAGACCACTTTAAGGTTTCGTTATAATAATTTATTTCACCAGAGTCCTTTTAAAAGGACTCTGGTTGAAATAAATTATTGTAATGGTACCTTAAAGTGGTCTGTTTTTCTTTTAAACATATATATATATATATATATATATATAGAGAGAGAGAGAGAGTGTGTGTGAGAGAGAGAGAGAGAGAGAGGGAGAATTGGAAATTACATTTTAAAATGATGCAGAGGAGAATACGCTAGGAACCCCCCCACACACACAAACACACACACCAAAAAAAAATCTTGGAAGACGAAGAACAAAAAAAAATGTTAGGACGGACATTTGTCGTGTTTAAGACAACCCAAAAAAGAAGCCATTTTCAGTAACGCAACAAAAGATAAATTACCAGTTGACTTTGTTAAATTTAATAAAACTACTTTGGGAAATAAAAAAAAAAATATTACCTGGTCTTGACAAATACCCTATGGGAGTCACGTGATTGTCAAAGGTTGACACGCATGCGCGCCACAATGAAAGAAGTAAAATCGACATTCTCTTAAGTTAATTAGCGAGAAAATGAAATTGTTTCCTGAGAGGAAGCCTGCTTCTGTTTGCGCATTCGAGACCTTGATGTGTCAAAAGGTTCTTTCAGTTGGAAAATAGATCGAAGGCCGTGCTACAGTATCAACGGTGGGGTACTATGAGTTTTTCTCACTCCATGTGAGGCATAAGGCCACATCCTTACCACGACAGGAAGCAAACCCACGCCCTACCGGTTTTGAATTTAAAGTTGAATTGAATTCTACTAAACCTAGACGATAGAAACCAATCTTCTCTGTTATTTAACCCATAGTTGGGGGAAGAGAATCGATTCGTACCTTCCCTAAGGGTATTTAGGCGAAAGTGATTGAAATTGCCGCTGCCGGAATTCGAACTCGGCCCGCTGATTCTATTTTGAACACATACAACTAGACATTCATTTATTCAGAAATAGATTTTATTTATTTTTTAGGAATTTCTATTTATTCAGTTTATTATCTTTAATGTGTTATTTTGGACTTTGTAGGCTGTTTTCGACACTGTGATGGGGGCCACACCCTATTAAAGTGGGGGTGGTGTGTGATTTTATCTCAGTCTCAACTGTTCCATGTTTTATGACCAGTGATGTTTTCTTTCTTTCTTTCTTTCTTTCTTAGTCTTTTCTTTCTTTCTTTCTTTCTTTCTTTCTTTCTTTCTTACTCTTAGTCTTTTCTTTCTTTCTTTCTTTCTTTCTTTCATAGTCTTTTCTTTCTTTCTTTCTTTCTTCTTTCTTTCTTAGTCTTTTCTTTCTTTCTTCCTTTCTTTCTTTCTTTCTTAGTCTTTTCTTTCTTTCTTTCTTTATTTCTTCTTTCTTTCTTAGTCTTTTCTTTTCTTTCTTTCTTTCTTTCTTAGTCTTTTCTTTCTTTCTTTCTTTCTTTCTTTCTTTCATAGTCTTTTCTTTCTTTCTTTCTTTCTTTCTTCTTTCTTTCTTAGTCTTTTCTTTCTTTCTTCCTTTCTTCCTTTCTTTCTTTCTTTCTTAGTCTTTTCTTTCTTTCTTTCTTTCTATCTTTCTTTCTTAGTCTTTTCTTTCTTTCTTTCTTAGTCTTTTCTTTCTTTCTTTCTTAGTCTTTTCTTTCTTTCTTTCTTTCTTTCTTTCTTAGTCTTTTCTTTCTTTCTTTCTTTCTTTCTTAGTCTTTTCTTTCTTTCTTTCTATCTTTCTTTCTTAGTCTTTTCTTTCTTTCTTTCTTTCTATCTTTCTTTCTTAGTCTTTTCTTTCTTTCTTTCTTAGTCTTTTCTTTCTTTCTTTCTTAGTCTTTTCTTTCTTTCTTTCTTAGTCTTTTCTTTCTTTCTTTCTTTCTTTCTTTCTTTCTTTCTTAGTCTTTTCTTTCTTTCTTTCTTTCTTTCTTAGTCTTTTCTTTCTTTCTTTCTTAGTCTTTTCTTTCTTTCTATCTTTCTTTCTTTCTTTCTTAGTCTTTTCTTTCTTTCTTTCTTTCTTTCTTAGTCTTTTCTTTCTATCTTTCTTTCTTTCTTTCTTTCTTTCTTTCTTAGTCTTTTCTTTCTTTCTTTCTTTCTTTCTTTTTTCTTTCTCGGCCTTTTCTTTCTTTCTTTCTCAGCATTTTCTTTCTTTCTTTTTTCTTTCTTTCTTTTTTCTTTCTTTCTTTTTTCTTTCTTTCTTTCTCTCTCAGCCTTTTCTTTCTTTCTTTCTGTCTCAGTCTTTTATTTCTCAATCATCTTTCTTTTTACTCTGTCTCCCTTTCTTACCTTAGTCTTTACTTATCAGGAAATTAGTCATTTCCTTTGTCCTTTATTTTCTTTCTTTCATTCTTTTCCTTTCTTCCTTTCGTCCTTCCTACCTTTCCTTCTTTACGTATTCCTTTCTTTATTCTTTCTTTTCTTTCTTTCTTTCATCCCCGACCTTTTCTTTATTTTTCTCTCTCAGCCTTTTCTTTCTTTCTTTCTTTCTTTCTTTCTGCTCAGCCTTTTCTTTCTTTCTTTCTTTCTTTCTTTAACAGTCTTTTATTTCTTAAACAATTTTCCTTTTTCTCACTCTTCCGCTCTGAGCTTAGTCTTTCCTTATCAGCATTTTCTTTCTTTCTTTTTTCCTTCCTACCTTCCTTCTTTCTATATGTCTTTCTTTCTTTCTTTCTCGGCCTTCTCATTCTTTTTTCTTTTTTATTCTTTCTTTCTTATTTCTTCATCAGCCATTTCGCTGCTTCTTTTTTTCGTTCTTTCTTTCACAAGCTATTTTTCACAGCATTCTTTTTATATTTCATCATCAGCCTTTGGTTCTTTCTTTCTTTCTTTCTTTCTTTCTTTCTTTCTTTCTTTCTTACAAGCAGATGTTTTCTTTCTTTCTATCTTTATTTCTGTCTCAGCATTTTCTTCCACAATTTTTCTTTCGCAGTTTTTCATTCTTTTTCTTCCTTTCTCAGTCTTTCTTTTTCTTTATTTGTTTCTTTCTATCTTTCTCCCTGACACGTTACTTTTTCGGTTTTTTTCTTCCTTTCTTTCTTTCTTTCTCTAACTTTTATTTTTCGTTCTTTTTTCTTTTTTGTAGTCTTTCTTTCTCATTTCTTCATCAGCTCTTTCGTTCTTTCTTTCTTTCTTTCTTTCGTTCTTTCTTTCGTTCTTTCTTTCTTTCTTTCTTTCTTTCCTTGTCAGCCTTTTATTCTTCATACTTTTTCTTTTTTTCCCAGTCTTCCTTTTTATTTCTTCATCCGCCTTTTCGTGCGTCCTTTCTTTTTCTTTCTTTCTTTCTTTCTTTCTTTCTTTCTTTCTTTCTTTCTTTCACGCAAATGTTTTCTTTTTCCATCTTTCTTTCTTTATCGTTTTATTTTTCATTTTTTTTCGTTTTTTTAGTCTTTCTTTCTCTCATTTTTTTAATCTGTCTCTTGTTGTTTCTTTCTTTCTTTCATTCTTTCTTTCTTACAAGCAGATGTTTTCTTTTTCCTTCTTTCTTTCTCTCTTTTTCTTTTATTTCTCGTACATTTTTTCTCAATGTTCCTTTTTATATCTTCATCATCCTTTGGTTCTTTCTTTCTTTTTTTCTTTCTTTCATATAAGCAGACGTTTTCTTTCTCTCTATCTTTATTTCTTTCCCAGCTTTTTCTTTCCAAATCTTTCTCTTCTTCGTCTTTCCCAGTTTTTCTTTCCTTTATACTTTCTTCATCAGCGTTCTATATCTCAATCTTTTTTTTTCTTTTTTGCTTAGTCTTTCTTTATCAGTCTTCTCTTTCTTACTTTCTTTCTTTCTTTTTTTCTCGGCTTTTTCTTTCTCAGTCTTACTTTCTTTCTTTTTTCTTTTTCTTTCTTTCTCTGCCGTCTCTCTTTTTTCTTCTTAGTTTTCCTTTCTTCGTCTTTTCTTTCTTTCATGTTTTCTTCTCCTACATTTTTCAAGACCTTTCTTTCTTTCAGAATAAAATTAACCAAAAAAAAACAAAAACAAACAAATGGACACCGATTTTAAATCAATTTCTTGATAAAAACCAAAAAGCAAAAAAAAAAGGAAGAAAACATCTTGTTACGGAATCATTTAACTGTAGACTCAAAATCAAAAGTACCCCAATAAACAAATGGCTGCTGTTTGACACGAACCAACACGAATGAAGGACGCAGCCGACAAACCATAATCTGTTTGAAATGGATCTAGTGTGATTTTTGTCTTAATCTCAGGTGATCCGTGTTTGACAGCCAGATATTTGGAAGTAAAAAATTCAAAGCGGCCACACACTTGACCAACGGTGAAACAAGCTGATGACGATTAGAACAGATCTCAACAGTTGAACCAGCTGATGAAGAGGTCTACGCATGACGAATATGCTACAGAAGAGAATGGATGACGGGAACAGGTTTGGGTGAAACTGTAAGCTTCTAGCCCTGAGCCTGTTGGCGGCGAATTTTAGGCATCAACGCCACCATCATAAAGGAAGCGGTCAGCAAAGAAGATATTAAATTTTATAAATACAGAATACGAGATGTGTATGTTTCTACGTGTATACGTCTGATGGTCGTTCTTTGTCATGGTAAAGGGGCATGTATGTTCCACTGTCTTTGAGGGCGATGCCGTCGGGAGTTCTAAACTCCTGGTTGGACCACTCTTGGCATCAAGAATGAAGGCGAGGACCCAGACTAATCGCGACCAACACCAAAGACCCCCAACAATGAAACAAGCTGATGACGATTACAACAAATCTCAAAGGTTGAACCAGCTGATGAAGAGGGCTACGCACGACGGATATGCTACAGAAGGCGTCACTTGAAGCTATGAGTCGCTGTCAGTTTGTTGCAGACATGTCTGTATATATGTGTATACCTTTGATCGTCGCTTTTTGTCATGGTCTTGCGTGATCCAGTGACTGGACCACCCTTGACATCAAGGAAGGCAAGGACCCAGACTAATCGCGATCAACACCAAAGACCCCCAACTGTGAAACAAGCTGATGACGATTACAACAGATCTCAACAGATGAACCAGCGGATTACGAGGGCTACGCTTGACGGATATGCTACAGAAAATATATATTTGTTTATACGTATATGTTTCTATGTGTATACATCTGTTGGTCACTCTTTGTCATAGTATTAAAATTTGTGAGCTTAGCGGAACGAGTGGTGTTAGTTCAGAAAAAGGCCGCTTGGCGGCGGCGGTGGTGGTCTTTCAATTGTAAACAAAGACGGAAAGTACGATACATTTGTGCGTGCGTGAGAAATCTATTATTTTTGTTATTTTGATTAAGTATATATTTATTTATGCCATATATACATTTTTATAGTATTTACATTATGATCATAACTATTGGTAGTTACGATAGTAGTTTTATAACTCAAAAATAATTTCTTCCGATATACGGACAACAAGCTTTAACGAACCACCCCTCCCCTTATTAGTTCGGTGATGAGTTTTTCTGTATATATATATATATATATATATATATATATATATATATATATATATATATATATATATATTGATAATATTAGTGGTAAATATACATACATATGCAATAATATATCTAAAATATATAAATATATATACATACATACATACATATATGTATAAAAAAATAATTCCAAGAGGATAGAATCCAGGTAGAACTCAGTGTCCAGGAGAAAGAATATAATAAAAGAACACTAATATTCCATGGTTTGCATTTATTCCATTGGAATCGTAATTACGATTCAATTCATCAGACCTACAAATTCAAAAAAAAAGAATTTGTAGGTCTGATGAATTGGATCGTATTTACGATTCCAATGGAATAAATTATGACCATGGAATATTAGTGTTTAAGCCTTTTTATTATTATTATTAATATTATTATTATTATTATTATATCAAATGAAAACTTAACACATCTCGAAAATTGCGATAATAAACATATTTCATCAAGTAAGTTTTTAATACTGGATTATACTTTCGACTTACGGATTAGATAGGTAGATAGATAGATGGATGGATGGAAATTGAATTATAGCTGCATAGCAAGGGATGAAAAATCAACAGTGATAGATAGATAGATAGATAGATAGATAGATAGATAGATAGATAGATGGAAATTAAATTATAGCTGCATAGCAAGGGGTGAAAAATCATCAGTGATAGATAGATAGATAGATAGATAGATAGATAGATAGATAGATAGATAGATATAAAAAGGAGATAGATAGATATATAGATATATATATATATATATATATATGAAAAGGGATAAGATAGATAGATAGATAGATAGATAGATATAAAAGGAGATAGATAGATAGATAGATAGATAGATAGATAGATAGATAGAAAAGGGATAAGATAGATAGATAGAGATAAGATAGATAGATAGATAGATAGATAGATAGATAGATAGATAGATAGATATGAAAAGACTAAAATAGATAGATAGATAGATAGATAGATATATGAAAAGACTAAAATAGATAGATAGATAGATGCGCGCGTGTGTGTGTGTGTGTGTGTGTGTGTGTGCAAAAGTGTACATTGTGGTCAGTTTGTGTCAGGCTTAAACGCCATCTTTAGCTCATTTAAGCACTGTTGTATTTTCAATTAATATCTGTCTTGAGTGCTCCTTTAATTGTTCTGAGATTGAACTACGATCATCGTCAGTGTTGTGAAACCCACATACATATTAACATTTTTATCAGATGCAATCTCCCAAAGGACATTTAAATTAACATACAATGGTCTTGTGTAAGGTGCTAGTTGATGAAGAAGAGCTATGGATGACTAGGTTGATTCTATTAAATTTAGTATATAAATAATTTATTTTTTTTACTTTGATCAGTTGGGGATATATTGCTTACAAGTCTCTTTAGAATTTTTTCTCTCTGCTTATAGTTAGAATGCATTTGATTACGGTGTAGTTGTTTGATATATTTAGTTATTTGAGAATGTATCATCATTTTTATTTATGAACCATATATATTCCCAATAGCCAGATGTGTATATTGAAGTCAACATCCGGGTGCAACATTCCATTTCATACTAAACACAATCATCAAGCCTGAGGATTGCATTTAAGCATGAAACAGCCTGTCACCTCTGTGTTTGCGTCAATGTTCACTTTTATATTTACATACACTCTATCCTTGATATTGATCACTTTAACCTGTAAATATAGCATAATTAAATTTATATTTTTGTCATATATATATATATATATATATATATATATATATATATATATAAAAGAAAGAACAGTAAGATATATAACCCACAAGTTCTTATAGATATTTTTTATTTTTACAAAATAGTGCTCGATCTAAATTTACAGAGCATTAATATCATAAATTAATTGATTTAAAATATGGTTTTTTCCGCTACACATTTCTAACCATGTTTCAAAATTGGAAGCTAAAAGCACCGAATTTAATTTTGTAATTAAATTAAAGACTTTAGTTCCATTTTCATCCTCAAGCGAAAAAGTCTTTAATTTAATTACAAAATTAAATTCGGGGCTTTTAGCTTCCATTTTTGAAACATGGTTAGAATTGTGTAGCGGAAAAAAACATTTTAAATCAATTAATTAAGGCAGGGTATGAAAAAAAAAGCGAATTGATCGTTCCTCTTTGTAAATTCTCAATGAAATAAATAAAACGATTGTTCCTCTTTGCAGCTTCTGTCCTTAATGAAAGTTCCTGAACGCGTTTGCCGTTATTGACGCGCTCGTAAAAATCGTTATAAACGGCAATGCAAATATTTCACCTGCGCATGTTAGGTCGTGATGATGCGCGCATAATATTTCAGTAATATTTGTTCTGATCGTAACTTTCCTTTCTGGATTTGTCGTCGATTTGGTCGTTTTTCCTCTTTTTTATCTTTCTTTTCCATTACTGGTTCAAATCACTCAAAGCAAACGTCGTATATTATTCTACAAAAGGAACTGATCTGTTGCCTTATCGAACCCTTAAGATTGTTATTAAGGATAAAAGAAAGCTCTTTTGTCAAGATTTGTCCAAACAGTCTTCTGGTTTTTTGGGCCACTGTATTCTTGGTTTACTTAGGATTTCTCCAGGGTGCTGTCGCTCAACGATGGAATCCTGAACGCTGTGGGTGTAGTCCAGATTCATAATCCCATCACTCGATTTACATTACCCGACAGGAGAATTACGTTGTTTGCACCAGCGTGTCTTATGGATACGTAAATCGCGTAAACCTTTAAATCTAATCTTCTGCCGCAATCATACGTTGTAGCTGGGTCCATATCCAGGTCATTTCCATTAAAACCAGTCTATATAGTTTCTCTCTTTCTCTCTCTCTCTCTCTCTATATATATATATATATATATATATATATATATATATATACTAGTACCAGTAGTTCATGCAGTCGCTTTACTCCTGCAAGTGCATTCGCTTCATTCATGCAATAGTGATCGTGGGGCGCTCAACCATCCATACCTCAATCCGTGTACACTGGTCGCCATTTCTCGACTTTTCTCGTCCACCATAGCATCCTTTTGATTAAAAACCCCATCACAAACACCCTAAGGTCCGTCCAAGTAGAATGAAAAATTATTCCATATTCCATAATATAGGTTTTACTTACTTAGCTATTATGTTTCTCTAACTCTTCAAATGTTGAATGTATAACTAATTCTAATTTCTATTTTCCCATCTTTACACTATATTAATTTTATCTTATAAATAATCCCCTGTTCTGTCACCCATGAAATAAAAATGATTGTATGGAAAATAAGGATCGACATACATCAAATCGTCTTTAAATTAAGTGGCAGCAGAAGAATTATTGTTGAACTTTTAAAAGGTAAGCTTAGACATTAATTCAATACAACGATCAATTTTGAGTTCTTCTGTAGTTTATTGATGCCTATCA